TTGCTGTATTCGTCTTGGATGCGTTGTCTCTATGTTTGATTGGATACGGGTGGATATGGCTCGTGAATGGATGTCGGCAATGGATGCTCGATCGAGAATCAACTCTTCCTTGAGAAGCTTAATGCTGTTTGTTGTCGTTCGAATGGCTTGTTTACTTCTCGATTGCTCCCCTTCTGCTTTCATGCATGTTGATCTCTGGAAATGGGTCCTTTATGGCGACCCGTTCCGACGACGGGCTGCCCTTAAGGATATGTTATTGGGTCAACGCAACTCGTAATGATGCTTTMAGATTATGTATTGTCGCATGCTTAAGGATCTGTTATTGGATCRACGCAACTCGTAATGATGCTTTAAGATTATGTATTGTCTTGTCACATGCTCGCATTCATTTTTTTGCAATACTTGCRGTTGCCCTTTTTCTGTTGATTATGTTTTTTTGCTTTCTGGGCTACAAGGCGCCCCCTACCCCTTTTCACCTCTGGTCACCTGTGGAACACGAAGGTTGGCCTACTTCGACCGATGAACGRCCCCAGTGTTGCCCTTGCCATATGCGGACCTTGAGATGGTTTTACCCCGCCGCGATGGAAGATCGCCCTCCGTGTTGTGAATCATGCTCACGGTGTGCCGACGTTACCCAGTCGGAGTAGCATGAGTATGACGTGCCGTACTCATGCGAAGCGCATGTGACGTACACATGCTACACACATAAGAGGACGTGCTTCCTCGATYGCTGCCGGGGGGTGTCCCCCCCGACCGCACCGTGGTGCGCCATGCGTTCCTTATACGCCCTCGCGTGGATATGGGATGATGGCGGTRGCCATGGGGTACGCCCGGGTCGGATAGGCACTKTTAAGGGACTGGCTGGATAGCATCGAAAAGAAGACGGCTGCATATTACGTGTGTTGTGGCGACGATTGATGTGAACTTGGGGACAGCTGGTGGGAATGTGCTTTGACGTATCTGTGCTGTCCGCTCGCGTGTGATTCCTTCCCCACCCCCCGACCCTTCCCTTGCACACCCCCCGAGATTATGTCTTCTTTGGATTACCCTCCCTGATTACCCGATTTCTTTCTTTCTTTCTTTCTTATCCCTTCTGCCTACCCATTCTCTCTCCCTACCCTCCGCCCCCTGTCACGTCTGCCATAATGCACCGCAGCATCCGCCAAAAGAATCCTTCCCGGGCGGCTGGTGGAACGAGCTAACGCACCGCTTCCCATGGCTGAAGGACTGTGCATGGCCCTCAAAACCCACGCAGGCCTTGATGACGTGCGTCAACCCTRGGGTCATGGATGCGATCAAGGAAGCCTGGGACACCGGGCGCTTCCCACACTTCTTCGAGATGCTGTGTTTCAGCGACGTAGTTGTCCTCGCCGGCGCCTGGGATCGCAGCCSGCATGACKTCRAWGATGAGCTGGGGGTTYTGGGCGAGCATCTTGAGTTAAGGAAGCAGGACTATACTAAGGAGTGTAGGGAGCTAACCGGTAGATCTGCCAGGGTTGAGCGCATCCTCCTCAGGATATGGGTCGTGGACGATTCACATCTTGAGGGGCGAATCCACGATGCACCGGGGGTATCACCCCCCACTGCAAGGGGCAATCAGGTTACTAGGTGCGACGATCTTGCCATAGAGGATGACGAGAGGGAAGAGATGGAGCGTGCTATTGCTGCCATTGCCTTTGCCATTAGGGACTCCCCGCTCGCGGATRGTCGTACACACGCCAATGTCTCGGATCAGGACCGTTACATGGCGTTTGCCSCTCTTGCGTCCACATGCTGGGTGGAACACWCATTCACMGGTTTTCGGCACGCTATCTGGAAGATGGAGACGTTTAACCATATAGCCCCGATCTCCGTCAGGGCCCTCCAATTTCTCGGGAATGTYYCGGACGCACAAGTCAAGGAGTGTAGAGCGCTAGCAATGAAGGGTAAGCTGAAATTCTCCGGCAGGGTCCCGCCGCTGGACCCTCAGGACCTCAAATTCCCACCCATGCGTGCATTTGATTTTGATAAATGTGGCGACTCAAGCTCCGACATGTGGCAGAAGGTGATTAGGCAGCAAGATAGACTGGATCTCGGGAATGTGAGAAAGATATGGACCGTGGGCAGGCCCTATCTTAAGTGCAAATGCAAGAGGGAGAATAWCAAGGATTGTGGAGATACCCCTCTCTGGTTCGACCATGCCCTCTGGTACCTGCTTGCGCACCCAGACGTGCTTTTTCGGAACATGTCCTCGATYAAGATCAGGACATCCATGTTGATACATTACCTTAGAACCTCGTGGAGGGAGGGTGTGCTTGCTGCCATTAGTTTTCACTTGATCAGGGATCTAATGATGGGATACATCAAGGAGCTTGAGGCAGATGCGACCCTTGACGCGGAGGGCCTACTGAAGGATGATCGTCTGTGGAACTATTTGGTGCCCGCCCTACTTGCACGAATCATGTTCCCTACACGAATCCCGGAAAAGCCCACCAGATTCCCACTTAGTTCCCCGCGTTTCGCAGCGCAAAAGAGAAACGCTCTCGGGCACGTTCCGGGCCAGACTACCCTCAACTTTCGACGGGCAGCCCCTGCCCCCGAGGCCTCTCCACCCGTGGCAGCTCCTCCGCCTCCTCCTCCTCCTCCCCCTCCCACCTCCTCCTCTTCCAACTTTCCCCCTCCTCCACCTCCCCCTGCGCCTCCTCCCCCTGTCACCTCTACGCAGGTGCAACCTACGGTCCTGGTTTCTGGGCTGCAGCGAACCGGAGGCAATGACCTCCTTGGCGGGATACATGTGGCGAACCCACTTACTGCACCTCTGCAGATGGCGAGGAATCAAACCCTTTCCTCCCCACTCCCGCGCATGGTAATCMCCGGGCTAACCCCGCCGCCCGTCATCCTTCTCTCACCCGAGGGTTCGGTGCGGTCAACCATCACCCAGACWGGGAAGGGCCGCAAAARAGGTGCAAGAGGCAGGGGTAATGCCAGAGCCGTTGCCGCCACCAGCACATGACCTGCGCGTGGTTGACCCCCTATGACAGCGGAGTCGCGCCCCCTGTTTTTTATTCTTTATTTTTTATCTTTTTTCGTTTTTATTTTTATTTTTTCCCCCTCTCGATATCTATCTCTCCCTCTCTGCCTCRGGATTCACTACCCCATCCGGCACAACCCATGTCCTTTATGTGTGTCCTCTGACYGCAAGATCCAGGCGCCGRCATCTATGCCCCGGGACAGATGGCCACGTTACCATCCGGCCGAAGAGCATGGAGGAGACAGAGACCAGACTGTGACACCTTCCTTCATCTGAGATACACCAGCATCATCATGGAACCTCTATCCATCAGGAAGATGATCAATGAAGTCCTGRCAAGAATCGTGGGCGATGACACGGCTACCTGGCTGGAACGCACCGTGATCGGATGGACCTACAACTCCAATATCACTTCCAGGCTCTGCAGGCCGGCGGAGGTATTCTGCGACTTCGATGTGGCACAGTGGATGGAAGCGTATGATCTGGGGCAATGTCCATGCAGATTGYGCAAGTACATGGACATGCGCAGCCAAGCCTCAATCGAGCTTCTCCGGTGCGAGGGACAGACGCACATAATCAYATTGGACTCATCGATCACGRATAACCCTCTGCTCCAGGGCATCATCAATGYCGGGTTGAATCACATCSTGKGCATGTCCCTGGATGTGGAGGAGGCGCTGAATGAGTTAGGTATCTTTCTCGACAARCTCATGACGAAAGTACTGGAGCTGAGGGAACTTTCGRCATCCACCCAGTCCTTTCTGCGGAGGGTGATCCTRAAAAAAGCAAAGACGAAGATGATTAAGTACAAGGAGCARCACAGACACATCTCTGCCGAGCCGTTCGAACACCTGGCGGTCAAGCGGGAGGTTGAGTTCCTTACGGGACGGTTTCTTATCTGTCCGACGGATAAGGCACCGAGCACTCCTACCTTCGTTTGCAAGAACTTCATTCGGAAGCTTGCTTTTCAGAGGCTAGCTGGACCTGAATTCGTGAGTGTTGCCTCTTCCCCTGCTTCTGTCATCACGAGAATGCAAGGTGAGTTGTCTGCCCTACATGTGCTACTGGAGTCTCGTGTTGCGCTCCCGTACTTAAGGACGGTCTTCAAAGCGCACAAGGGGACGTTTCGCTGGATTACTAACACTGCTGGGACCGTGGTTTCCCCTGCGGAGGAGYTGTGCTCGTGCCTGTTGCAGTTTCTCCTGCCCCTGCTGCAAGCTTTCTGTCTGGAGAGAAGCATGGAGGTGGAAGCGCGGCATGGTGTCAAGCCAAACYTGTGGTGGTCCACTACCTCGGTGGGTGAGTTCTGTGCGAACTTACCGGATAGAGTTTACTCTGTATTCACGGCGGATATCACGAGGTGCTTTGAGGCAAYCCCCACGGATAGCTCGGAGGACGGCTTGCCGGCCGCGGTGAGGTTCTACGTACAATGTGCTATGCAGGAGCAAAAGGAGAGRAGTTCATCCCACGCCATTCAGATCCGCAGGGGAGCGAATGGCGGGTTTCKGCTATCATAGGTGGATGCGGCCCACACGGAGGGATTCGGCTCCATGATATTCAGGGAGCAGGACATTTTTTGGCTTTCAGAATGATGCATCTCCAATAGTCTGTTACGCATGGGCGACTTCGTGTGGCGGCAGGTCAAGGGTATACCCATGGGACTCGCCTGCTCSCCCATCTGGTGYGACGTCTACCTCTTTTAGTACGAGTTCCACGCCATGATGAGGCTGGCGGATACGGGTAATGCGCACTTGATCCCGTTCTTCTCGGACAMATTCCAATTTGTCGACGATCTGAGTGCGATCAATAATGCGATTATCAACACCTTTATGAGACAGAAGAAGGACAGAGATGGGAATGATCCGTGTTGGATCTATACAGACGAGTACATCGAGATTAAGGAGAATACGGAAGTCACCGACGAGGGGTGCAGACAAAAAGCCAACTTTCTCAGCGCCACCATCACGATTACCTCTCCAGAAGCGGGGACGTACATCACCTCCAGGCTTGACAGGCGCGTGGGGTTGGGTTTTGTGCCCTGCAGGTTCATGAAATACAAGTCCAACAGGAGCGCCAAGCAGGCGCTACAGATTATCACCACCCAAGTCGCGCAAGTTCTTCTTCTGTGTTCGGAACCGGATGACGCTGCTGAGCGGATCAACAAACTGGTTGCTGTGATGCGGGGCAACGGGTTCGCCGAGGACGCCTGCAGGAAGGTGGTGAGGAGAGCGCTRCGCAACGCCTACCGCTATCAACCTGGCCGGGTCTCTGTACACRCGGTGAGGGAGGCGCTGACACACTTGTTCGGTTTCTCTGACTAACATTGTTCGGTGGGTGTGTGTCTGTGTCTGTGTCTGTGATTGTGCTCGTGTGTGTGACGGATGTCCGGGGGACGACTGGGCCGAGACGGCCGGTTGCTCTCCGGACAACCACCCACTCGACCCCGTCATCCCCCGGAGGGATCGGGGTGGGGCACACACACACACACACACACACACACACACACACACACACACGCACACTCATACAGGTGTAAGGAAAAGGCGGAAGGAGAAGGAGAATGGGCATGCCCACGCCATGACCATCCGGATGAGGAGTCGGATCCCTACCCCCGCGATTCTTCACTTCTCGTCCCCCGTGTTCTTGTACCCTCCCCCCTCCCCCCTCCCCCCGCTCCCCCGTTCTTGTTTCTTTTTTCTTTTTTCTTTTTTCTTGTTTTTTTGTTTTTTTTTTTTTGTTTCTTTTTTTTTTTCTTTTTTTTTTTTCTTCTTCTTTTTTTCTTCTTTTTTCTTTTTTCCTTTTCCTTGTTTCGGTTGACGACAGGAGTAGCTTGAGCCGGAACAGGGGGTAAACCGCGAATTATCCCTTGAGCAACCGAAACCGACCGACGAAGGTGTACGAGAACGGCTTGCTCTCGAACCTTGACGAATAAGGATAGGAGTCGGATTAGTGCTCGGGCCTAGGGCATGGGTACGATGTAGTTAGGGCCGGACGACCGACCCACCTTTTTCCTTTTTTTCTCTCTCTTATTTTCCTTTTTTCCTTTTTTCCTTTTTCCTTTTCTTTCTTTTCTCTTCTTTTCTTTTCTTTTCTTTCCTATTTCGCCTTTTTTTCGACCACCCGATTAGTACGTAGGAAGAGTGAGGTTGGGAGCGTTAGCTTGTATCGGAATGCTGCGGATGCCAGGCCCGCCTCGGACTATATCAGAACAGAACACAGGGTGTTCTATTCATCGAACTGACACGCATTCCTCGGCATTCACGGTGCACGGGACGATTGTCGATCGAACAACGCGCAGGGAGTTCTTGAAGCGACGGACGACATGGACTTTTTTGCTGATTGGGACCAGGAAGACGAGCGGCAGGAACAGGAGGAACTGGTAACGGCTCTGTGAGGCGACACTCCCTCGGCGTTGCGAAACAGGCACTATGCAGCCTCTCCCCACTTGTCCTGCCCAACCCAGCTTGTCCGGCATAGCGCCCGCGCCCGCGCAGGGTATCGCGTTCTTGCTTCTCCTCCTCCTCCTCGTCCTGTTGCCTTATATCGCCATAGCCTGTGTCTTGTTCTACTCGTGCTTGTTAGAGGGAGTGTTTCTCTGGCTGACGACGAAACGCTTTGCGCTCTTGCTCAACGGCACCATCTGCTTCGCAACTCTTTTTCTCGCCAGCTGCTGTTGCTTGTTCTTCATCATAGGTGCGAGAGGTTTGCCGGCGTTTTGAGTGTGGGCTCGGTGCTGCTGTCGTAGGTGATGGAGCACAAATCGGCGACTGAGATCTCGGCTTGCGCCTTCCTGGCCTTCATTCCCTTCCTCTCCTTCCTCTCCTTCCTGTACTTCCTCCATTCCCTCCCATGCCCTTCGACAATCAACCCCTCCACCCACCCCATCACCCCACTTCCTTTCGCCAAAGCCCGCCCCGCTCCTCCCCTCTTGTCCCGATGCAACCCTTCTCGCAAACCCTCCACCTCCTTATCCCCCCCACTTTCCAAAGACCATGGAAGTTGTCCCGCCCTCTAATGATGCCCCACGTGGCATAGGGCAGAAAAGCGCTTTAGGGAGTTGCCACGCCCTTCCCGCAATTTGGCGAGATGATCCTCGCAGGAGCAAAATGCGCTGGATCTGGAGGATAGAGCTGAAGCGGGATTTACCTTTCCCCTTTCCGCCTTCTCCCTCCCCCTACCCCCTACGCCTTCCCCCTTCCCTCCCAGGATCGCGTGAGTGGGTGACAGTAGTAGATCAATGATAGCAAGCTTGCTCGCTGGACGATTTTGATAAAGATTTGTCTTCTTGGAATCTTGAAGCTCGTTTCACCTCTCTCCTTTGCATTGAATCGTTGGTCCTTCTTCTTCTTCTTCTTCTTCGTCTTCTTCTGCTTCCTCTGCGTCTTCTTCTTCCTTTCCTTTTCTTTTTCTCCTTCTTTTTCTTTTTCTTTTTCT